TCCCCCAGAGGGTGGCTCTTATAGGTGTAATAATTTGGGCAGGGCACAGGGGCCAGGCTATAAGCAGGTGACCTGTGGAAATGCCTCATTTCCCTGGCTCATCTGCCCCTGACTCCTTTTGTCTTGGTGCCATGGCCTGAGGACACTTAGAAATGGATTCTAGTGCTCATGCCTGTAATTCTAGCATTTGGGGAGGCCAAGGCAGGTGGACCACTTGCGCTCAGGAGTTTGATACCAGCCTGAGGAAGAGTGAGACCCCATCTCTACTAAACACAGAAAAATTAGCCATGGAGGGCACCTGTAGTCCCAGCTTGGGAGGCTGAGACCAGAGGATCACTTGAACCCAGGAGTTTGAGGTTGATGTGAACTATGATGCCGGGCCACTTAACCCAGGGTGACAGAGTGAGAGTTTGTCTCAAAAAACAAACAAACAAAAAGGTAAAAAAATGTATTCTACCACCCAATTTGGCAATTCCATGCAAACTTCCCTGCACTTCCCCAGCACTGGGTGTAGGGCCTCCTGCTGCTGAGATCCTGCCTCCTCCGCCACCCCTATCTGTGAGCAGTGCTGAGCAATACCTTTGACCAAGTCCTGGGCTGAGTCCCAAGAGAAATGAGAACTTGGCTTTGGAAATACAGAAACGTCTGGGCAGGAGCCTTCTGAAGAGTCAGCAAGAAAAGTGGAATCCTAGGGCCGTGTCTCCCTGGCACCTTTGGCTGAAGGTTGTCAGGACACAGCGTTCTTAATTCATGTCACCGCTCCAACCAACCACTTAGCGTAAAATTGCCCATAAAAGTAAACTGAAATTACAAGTGATGAAACTGCAGCCCCCTCTGGCTGCGGCTGGCCCTCCCCTCCCGACGGGGCGGGGCTTAGTGTCCTCCGACAGGAGCAATGAGGCAGATGCAGACCCCTGTCCCTGCTGACCTCCTGCCCTTAAACGGAAAACTTTCTGGGGCTGCGGAGACCCTGAGCTTCTCATTAGCTCCTCCCGGGAAGGGGACATTGCTGTTTCAGGCCAGTTTTTCTCATTTCTCTCCTTCCCTCTGCAGTGTCCTTTGGAGTCATGTGACGGCCTTTTGTGCCCAAGTCCAGAGGAGCAGGCCAGTGCCCTAAGCACCAAGAGCCTGAGAGACCATGACGATGCCCCCATCCCGGGGCTCCATGCACTCACCATGTTCTCTCTCCAAATTGGCTTTTCTTGACCAAATGTTAAACATTTTAACCAATTCTACCTGAGGGGTTGCCCTGATCTGTTGGTTTATTTATTCCTTCATGAACACAACGACGTTTATGGGGCCAGGTCCTGTCTCTGGCCTTGAAATTTTAAGGCTGACCTGACTCTGGGCTTAAGGGGCCTCCAGATGGGAAGAGGTGACCTGGTGTGTGCCAGGTGTGGAGGGAGCAGAGGGGGAGGGATGTCTCAGTAAGTCTTCCCGGAGGAGGAGGAGGAGGAGGTGGTGTTCGAGTTAGGGGCGCAGATGTGAGGAGGGTCTTCCAGGCCCAGGGACAGTCTTGGTCACAGCAGGGCTCTGTCTTGGGGGAATCAGAGGAGAGTTTGATGAGGACGACTGTTGTACCTGGCTTCTGTGTGACAGCCACAGGCAGTGTGTAGTGTCACTTGTTTTAGCAGCCGCTAGTGACACCTGCTGTCACGCGATGGTTTCTTTACCCCTGTGTGCTAACATTCTTACCTTTTCTTCTGCTTTAGTTAAGACTTTGACTGCACACTGGGGAAGCCACTGCACAGCAAGGCGCCCCAAGCTCAGGCTTGGGGTTGTCGTTTCATCGAAGTGGCCCCACTCGTGGGGTGGCACAGCCATAAATGCAGAGGCCTCCAGCCCCTCCCTGCTCCCTCTGCCTACCCCAGTGCGTCAGGAGAGGCTGCCCAGACCCCAGGATCACAGGGTATGGGAAAGGGGCAGCAGCTGGTGTCCCAGCAGCAATTAGCTGCGGAAGGGTCTGTGATGTCCTGGTCCAAAAGAACCAGAACCCAGGGAGACATGACCGGGTTGACATTGTAGGAAGATTCTGACCCCATCTCCACTGCTTTCTGGCTGTGTGATCCTGGGTCAGTCACTAAACTTCTCTGTTTCCTAATGTGTAAAGATGGGAACAGGATGAGAATGGGCCTGATCTGGTAGGGTGTTGCCAGGAAAGGAGGTCAGTTGATAGCATGCACGTAGCACAATGCCTATGCTCGTAATGTCGCCATGAAGACAGTGGATGGAGATGATGGGACCCACCTAAGAACACCAGTGTGGCTGTCCCCCAGGAGGGCAGTGGCTTGCTGCGACCTGTCTATCCTCTCAGTGGCACTGGTGTCTGAGACTAGGATCAGTGGGGTCAGTGCTGGGGCAATGGAAGGAAGCCCCTGGGACGGAGGGACGCCGTGTTGCCTAGAAACCAACTAGAAACAGTAGGACAGGCCGTCATCTTCCTGCTGCAGGTAGCAGCTCCGAGACCCACCTACAGTTACATGTTCAGGATCGTCTTCATTTCACCAGATCCAGATTCCCTGTGGGAGGAGCAGCCGCCCCCTTCCTCCTTTCTGCAAGGAAGGGATAGAGGAATCAGCTTTTTGTCCTTTTGTTTGTGGCTGTCAATGAGGTGGGAGAAGTGAGGGAGAGCGGATTGGGGACTGTCCTCCACCTAGTACTTCTGGAGCATGAGTTTTGCCGGAGGAGTTTCTGCATTTCGGAGACAGCAGCATGTGTGCCTCGCAGAGAGGAATGCAGAATGGGCTGGGCTCAAAAACACCACCAAATATTTCATGAAGTGCCTCCCGGCTGCTGCGGGAGCTGCCTCTGTCAGGCTGCAGACCCCTGGGGTTTATGCCCATTCTCCTTTGCTTTCTGGGGGTTTCAACAGAAAAGCTTGAGAGGCAGACACTGCCTTAGCCTCTCTGGTCTAGAGGGTCCCTCGTGGTGGTCTGGTTGGAACAAGAAAGGCTGGGGGGAGGAGTCCAGCCCGGTTTTAAGTTTATAGACAGAACACAGGAGGAAATGGTTATTAGATTTCCATGCTCCCCTCCCCACACTCAGCAGCTGAGGCTCTGGTGTGGGCAGCTCAGTGAGGCTGGGGGCACTGGGTCAAAGAAAGCCCCTCTGTCGTTGCCCTTTTCTGCAGGGCGCAGGCCAACCCCTGACAGCTCAGTCCCTGTCCCGCAGCTTCCGAACCCTCCTTGCATGGCAGCCTCTGGGCAGGTGCCACTTTGAACTGCTTGCTGAGGGGACAGTGTCCTGAAGGGACATTGTGCACAGGCCCTCCCCCGTCCTCTGAGTGAGCTTGAGCCCCCCGGCAGGTACTTTTCCACCTGGCTTGAGTGGTTTCCAGGAGCCTGTGACATAACCCAGAGAATGGATCAATTGTGGCCCTGTGCCATTAATGAGCCAGTGGCATTGTCAAAGTTTGTCACCTCCGTGGGCTGAGTTTGCTCACCGTGCGGGTACCTGAGAGGCTTGCTGAGAGTTCTCTGGGTGCTGGCATCTGAAACATGAACCTCAGAGAGTTGGGGCCAGATGGCCTGGCTGCCTCCCCGTCTGGGTCAGAAGCAAAGGGGCACATCAGCCCCCTAGGTGACACTTTCCACCTACCCACCAAGAGCTGTTGAGAGAGGAGTTTGAAGCTGGGCTCGTGGCTCTCCCTGCTGGATGCCCTCCCCCTCCTCACCCCACTGTGTCCACCACTCAGTGGCTCAGTGCCTCTCAGGACACCGCCTGCTCCCTGCCAACTCCAGACATGCAGATTTGCTGTTCACGTGGCCAACTCAGCACCTCTGGGGCACACACTCTTCACATAGCTCTCCTGCTCCTGGGCCGGGGCTGTGTCCCGTGGTCTCTGTGTCCCCCATGTAGGGCAGAGCCCGACACCCAATATGTGCTCTGGAGACATTTATTAAATGGAATTAATCTGAGGATGGGGGGTGGAGGGTGTTTGGGGAGTAGGTGCCGGACCCAGTTCTGCATCATTTCTGAGCCCCTGGCTTCCTCCTCTGGTGGAGGGGGGGCAGGAAGGTGGGAGGGGCCCTCTCTGAACTGGGTGCCCCCTCCCTACCAGGGGCTCAGTACAGACTTACTGAATAAGTGGCCCAATGGCTCCATCCTCTGCAGGGGGGAAACAGAGGGATAGAATCAGACCAAGCAGGGGTTCTGGTGGGAGGTGCTGGTTCTTATGGATACAGGGGACCTGGGGCAAGGATTTTAAATTGGCAGCTGTGGTTGCTGGGCAGAGGGCTTTGAGCCCATCTCCAGAGAGTCAGATTGGACAGATGGGCTTCTAGAGGAAGTCACAAGGCTTCAACAAGATGAGGTGACCCAAAGGCTCTGATGAGAAGCAGAGAGGCAGCACCCCCTTTCTGGCTGAGGTGGTCACAGGAGGCCACCCTGTCCCAGATGAAAACCTGCGTGTAAATGACCTGGCAGGTAGGGGCAGGCATCCCCCGCATCCTATCTCAGGGACTCCCAAGCCTATGCTGTGGCTGTATCAGGGAGCGGGTCCCCAGAGTCTGTAGGAGCTCACTGCCTGGGCCAGTCTGTGGTGCCAGGACCCCAGTCGGCACAGTGATTATACTTTCCTGTAGTGTAGGAGATTTGGGGCCCTTCATCTCCAAACAAACAGGACCACACCCAGCATGTATGGCCTCTGTGAAAGTTAGCTGGAGGCTCCCTCTCTGGGCACACACACAGCCCTGCCACAGGCACATCTGTGGTAATTACAAAAGGTACCCCTCCCTCCTGGCAGGTAGCCCAGGCTGGGTGCATAGCTTGGCAAGCTAACCCAGGCTCCAGGCCCTTTGCCCCTTGCTGAACTCCCTTGTGCAGTGAAAAACCTACACAACTGTACAGGGCCATCCTGTTCACTTTCTTTCCCAGAGTCTGTGCTGAGCTCACTGCACTTTTACAGATCCCCACCCCCAGCCTGTTCATCCTAGGGACTGGGGTGGCTGGTTGGGATGGTGGTTCCTCAGGGCTCAGACTCTGAAGGGCTCTTCTCTTAGTAACTTAGGGGTGCCGCCAGGCCGGGGGAGCTGCCCGCTCACCATGCCCCTGCCCTTCGACCTCATCTACACCGACTACCACGGCCTGCAGCAGATGAAGCAGCACATGGGGCTCTCCTTCAAGAAGTACCGGTGAGAGGGCAGCGGGAAGATGTGCCGTGGCCCCTGCCCCCCAGCCACACACCCAGCCCCTGCGTCCTGGCTGCCAGCTGGGCCCAGCGTGGGAGGACGCACTATCCTGTGTTCTCCTGCCTCCTGCCCTTCCTCTCCCCCGCCACTTCCATCTTGGCTAACTCGGATGATAATTAATAAGCCGCAGAGAGAGGCTCCATTGCTCCTCTGCTGCACTGAGGTTGGGGGTGGGAGTCAGAGGGAGCCCAGACGGAGGGGCAGAGGAATAGCAGGGAGCAAGCTGTGACCTCTGCCAAGGGGACCTAGTGGGGGTTAACTCCACATCCCCACCTCCCCTCCTCCACCCACCCCCTCTTGGTCTGGAGGAAGGCCGTGGCCATCCATCACTCCTTGTCTCCCTGCAGCCAGCGGGGTGTAGGGTTTAATTTAGCACAGAGCGCCCTGCTATTTATTACACGTGCTCCAGTCCCATTGACTATCCCGCATGATTTTATTAGGGGAAAAAGTGACAGGCAGTGTTATTGCTTTTATTATTAATGCACATTCTCTTTGCACTGGGCACTCTCTCCTCCCTCCCCCAGAATCTTCTAGGGGGCAAAGTGGAGTGGGGGATGGTGCTGACTTTGCACTTGGCAGGCAATTCTGGGCCATGAAGGACGCAGTGGGAGGGAGCTCCTTGTGGAGGTGTCTGAGTCTGGGCACTTTCCATCAGACGCCCCTTCCTAGGGTAAGATGGGCAGAGAGACAAGTTCTGGGGCTGTGGCCCATTGAGAGTGGCCTCAGAGTTGGTCCAGCCCCATGGTTGGCTGGTCCTAGAGGGCACCTCTGGGCTTTGACCTTGAAGCCTCTGCCCAGCTGGAAAGTCCAGCACTGTAGGTGCCCGCCTTGCAGAGGAGGCTTGGAGGCTCTGGCTGCCTAAGGATAGCTCTGCAGGCAGTGGCCCCCTGCACCCCAGCCTTAAGAGTCTGGGCACATCCACAGGTGTCAGACTCCAGATCAGAGGGGCTGTGGATTCCCCACCCTGAAGTACAGGTGACCCTGGGACAGCAGGAAGGGACCCCATGCCACCCTTGCTAGGTCCCCTCTGGGTGGCGGTAATGACTGACATGTCTGGAGCACCAACCAGGGACCACAGGTCAAGAGCTCCAGATAGCCCAGAGACAATAGCTGTTGTCATTCCCACTGGACAGATGGGGGAGCTGATGAGAGAGGTGTAGTCACATGCCAGGGGTCACAGCAGTGTCTGCCCCGGCCACCAGGCAGTTATAGTGCTTGTGGCTGGGACAACCCCAGCATAGAGACACACAGCAGTGTTGCTGACCCTGGTCCCTTGGGGACGGGGGGAGAGCAGGTGCCGAATCCGAGTCATCGACACCTTTGGGACGGAACCTGCTTACAACCACGAGGAGTACGCCACGTTGCACGGCTACAGGACCAACTGGGGCTACTGGAACCTCAACCCCAAGCAGTTCATGACCATGTTCCGTGAGTGCTGGGCGGGGCTTGGTGGGGTCGGGCAGGGCAAGGGCACCCTGGATTCTCAGAGGAGGAAGCAGGGCCTTGAAATTCTCAGGGGAGGGCCTTGCTCCCCACCTCCTTCCTTCCTGGGCTGGTGAGGGGGGTGGGACCCACTGAGTGCTGCCCTCTCCTTCCAGCCTCTTGTGGGATTTGGGGAGCAGGAAGCATGGAGGGGGTGTCCTTGGCAGGGTGACCTGCCCAACACCAGAGGACATGACCTTCACCCATCAGGGAAGCGCACAGCTCCAGAACAAAGGGGATTCGGTGGCCTTCTCGAGGTGGCTGGGGCACTTCAGTGGTGGCTGAGGAATAGGCAAGCGGGCTTTTCCAAGTGAGGGGAATAGATGTAGTAAGGATGGGTGTGGAAAGAAGTGGGAGATTCTGGAAACGCAAGAGCAGCACTAAGCTCCAGCACGGTGGATGACGGCCCAAGGCTGTGGCTGGGCAGGAGCCCTCGGTGGGAATTGGGGGATGGAGGGCTCAAGGCCAGGGGCGGGTCAGAGCCGACCTTTATCTCCCTAGGGCCAGCAGAGGTGCAGGGCTGTGTCCCGCTCCGTGTGGCTGTTTAACTGACTCTTTCTCTCCTTGTTGGGAGGCCCTCAGCTGTCACTTTTAATTGTCGTCAGCACATCTGCCTCCAGCAGCATCTTGCGTGCGGCTCTTTGAAGACTCTGGGCCAGAAAGCCCGATAAGCACCCTTGTTAGGATCGCATCTAAATTAAGAGCAAAATAGGTTCTGAGCAACATCCTGAGGGACTCGCTGATGAGCAAAGTGTATGATCTTTATTTAGCCCATCAAATTCAGGCGTCTCTTTGGGGTGCTTAGAGTGTTCTTTTTTTCTTATTCTCCAGGTTCTGGGCTGTATTAGGAGCAAATGTGGTTTTTGAATAAATAAGTATGGCTTAATTAAATTCCAGAAGGTTGGGAAGGTGGGAAGTGCCTGGAGTCCACATGGTCCAGATGAGAAAACAGAGGCCCAGAGAGGAGGCACAGCTCACCTTAGGTCGCCCAGCTCTATGGGCCCTTTCCAAGGTCTCAGGAAATGCTCACTGTCCTCCTGGGAGAAGAGCAGTTGTAATAGGGTGGACACAAGGAGCAGATTACTGGTGGAATAGGAACCGGTGGGGAGATAGAAACGAGGGGGATGCTCTGGCTTCAGAAGAGGAAAAGCTACAGAGCTCAGAGTCTTAGGTAATTAGCTCGCTTAGCAGGGAAGCAGTCAGGTATGAGGCTGGCAAAAGGCTGAGTTTACATTTGAGACTCACTGTAAGTTCTTGAGCTGGAGACTGTTATAGAGAAGAATTTTCATTGAGGCATGTTATCCTGGCAGACCGCAGCTGGCC